TAATGATCAGAAATAAGAGTGGAAAGAGCCCCCTCACCTACCATCTCAGAAGGGACGGGCATGGGGCTGAGGCTGGCCTCCTGGGGCCTCCTTTTCTGGCCACCCTTCCTACAACCTTGGCCCTTGTACCTGCCTCACCTGTGTTTTGAGTGATTCTTTTGGGTCCCGTGAGGAGAAAGCCTACTGGGGACTTATTTGCTACCAAAGAGCTTTGCTTCATGCTTCAGGCTAATTTTGCATTATTCTGGCCCTCAAAGAAATGCCCGGGCCACACACCACCATGTTTTCTGAATAAGCCATGAATTTTAAGTTCTCTGGGTCTCCTGGATTGTCCCTCCTCCCTGACCACCATGGAGAACTTCTCTGGAATTTTCTGGACTCAGCTTCATCCCTGGTCTTCAGGAGTGACTGTGGCAGGTTACTTGATGTTTCTGCAGCTCAGTTTTCCTAGCTGCAACATGGGAGTGGTCCTGTTTGGCCGGATGGGATGAAAGGGATGTGTAGGGTCAAGTGAGACTGACCGGCAAAGCCCACTGCAGAGGCTCAGAAAGAATCATGGTGGTAATGAGAGTAATAACTGACATGGACGGAGGGCTTGTTGCACTGTCCTGGGTACTCTGCCTTCATTAGCCTCCTCTAGGTGTCACTGCTGGCTGGTAGCATATGCCTGTAATCTTAGCAGCTCTGGAGGCTGAGGCAGGAGGATTGCAAGTTTGAGGCCAGCCTCTGCAGCTTAGCGAGAGACCCTGTCTCAGAATTAAAAAATAAAAAGTGCTGGGGATGTAGCTTAATGATAGAGCACCCCTGGGTTCTTTACCTACCCTTGCAAATACACATGTAATTTGTTCATGTTTGAAAGAAGAAAGGCGTCAGCAAATTAGGAGCTCTCTGGTTCAACCCGCACAGCCTGGATGACTAAGGGAAACTGCAGAGTCAGCTTGGTAAGTTGGAGGGGTTGACAAAGCCCTGGTGTTGGCCAAGGAACATGGAACCTCTGGCTGTCACAGGAAGAGGTTATCAGTCCTGCCCAGAGACCCCTATTAATTCATAGTCACCCATTCACTCATCTACCCCGACACACACCCATCTACCTACTCACCCTCCACCTTCCATTCATCTGCCCATCTGTTCCTCCCCCTCTCTGCCTTCCTGTCATCTCATTGATTATTTATCTATCTGTTTATGGACCAACCAATTCACTTACCAGCCCATCCACCCACTATTTCCCAAAGGCCTAGGCTGCGGGGAATGGAGAAGACCCAACTGTGTCTCTTGTTCTCAAAGACCCCACTGCCGGGCTGGGGATGTGGCTCAAGTGGTAGCGCGCTCGCCCAGCATGCACGGGGCGCTAGGTTCGATCCTCAGCACCACATAAAAAAATAAAATAAAGATGTCGTGTCCACCAAAAACTAAAAAATAAATATTAAAAAAAAATTCTCTCTCTTGAAAAAAAAAAAAAAAGAAAAAGACCCCACTGCTTGCATCAGATGGTGAGAAGAGACAGAGGACTGTTGCCCTCAGGAAGGGGAAGACATGGTGTGTGCGAGCCCAGCCCTCGCCAGGGTCTCATTTTCCTTGGCCAGGTCCATTTTTGCACGGGAGCAGATGAGTCGTGAGAGTGAAGGGCACGGCTCCTCCTTCCTGCCCACCTCCTCTTGCATGGTTTCAGGGCGTCCTGCAGTCTAGATTTCCCAGCCTGGTTGGGAGATGCCTGGACTTCTACCCTGGACCAAGCTGCCTTAGCCTCTTCACTGTCTTCATCAGGACGAAGAAAGGGTGGTCCCCGCCTGAGAGCCACTGTGTTCTATGGCCCAGTTGGCAGGGCCTGGGAGGGAAACTTACCCTGAACTCCGGCCCTCATTCCCAAGACAGTCTAATGGTGTTGTGGGATTGGTTTCAATGACTAAGAATCTGGCTGGGCCCCTGGACTCAACAGCTGGCTATAAGGTGGCCAGAGGTTGACTTTGCTGCTAATTGGCTTTTGGACAAGACCCTTTTCCTCTCTACCCTGATGCCTCTGCTGTAATTTACTTACTTGTTGGTCTCTGCATTGCCAAATGGAATCCTCCTGTGCTGGGTAATTTTATTGCTGAATAACCACCCAGTCATCCTGTATGCTAATTATGTGCCAGGTGTGGTGCTCAGCACGTCCCACTTACTGATTGGCTCCTCACAATAACCCTATTATTTTACCCAAGAAACTAAGGCACAGAGAAGTTAAGTAACTTGTTTGGATTCACACAGCTAGCGAGGGGTTGGAACCCACGCTGTCTGGCCCCAGAGTAGGAGTTTTGACCACTGTCCGCTCATACCAGGGGCTCTACTGTCCCTCCCACACTGATGGCTGTCAACAAAAAGAATCATGTGGCCACGATACTTTCAGGAAAGAGCCAGAAATACAGGCACAGGGGTCCTAGGATATAGCGGCAGGGGACCCTATGTGACAATTGACGTGGATTACAAACCAAGGACCCCGATTTCCAGGTCCCTGGCCTGGCCCCAGCTTAAGCAGCTGCACCTTCTCCCCAAGTGGACTCACTGACCCTTGTCTCTTATGCCACCTGGACACAGCCTCAGTCCACCAATATCTGGAAGTGAGATTCTAGCTTTGCCACCGCTGTTCCCGAGACCATCTGAGATTTAACACCATGGAGAGGTTTCAGCAGCTCTCCCGATAGATCCAGGGACTTCCTTACTGTAACTGAATAAGCTACGTCTCAATCCAAGCCCACCGCACAGGGCTTTGCCCACATGGCTGCCCCCATGGCTGGAAGCCTGTTCTGGGAATCGCCGCTCCCCTCTCTGCCACATCTGCAGGACAAACTCATTCACAGCGTGGTGGCTATTTTAGGAAGGCCTGGGGAACCAAATAAAGCATCGCTGATCTCTCTTGATTCCCAAATCAGGGGAGAAAGGAGACAAAAATGTCATCTCTGGCATCACCCGCAGGGTTCTCTGTCACCAGTCTGCACACGTTCTCCGACCTACTTTCCCCTCTGTGGATTCTGCCTCCCTTGGCCTGCAGCTCCAGGGTGATGGGGGTGGCTGTGAGAGGCAGGGCCCGGAGCTGCCTCCTTATCCCCACAGCAACCCCCAGTCCCTCGCTGCTGACTCATGCTGCTGACTCCCCAACTTGGCGGCTCCCACAAATCCCACCGGATTATGAAGGCTGCAGCTGGCTCCCGGCAGAAGGGGAAGGTCAGGGCTCGGGCACATGTGGAGGGGAAGCAGAAAGCTCCGCTGATTCACCCCGATGCCCATGAAGCAGAAATGCCCTGCATCTGGGTGCCCGTGGCCATCTGGATGAATGAACTCTGGGCTTCTCGTCCATAGTCCAAAGGCTGGTTAATTACCAAGAGGCAACTTGTGTTTCTAAACCCAAAAGGCATCACAGCATGATGAGACTAAGTAGCATAGCTGACAGAGTAAGGTGATTGTTATTTTATTTTAGTTTTTGGTACCAGGGATTGAACTCAGGGGCACTCAACCAGTGAGCCCCCATCCCCAGCCCTATTTTGTATTTTATTTAGAGACAGGGTCCCACTGAGCTACTTAAAGTGATTTTTTTTTTCATCAAAATAAATAATTTTATTACTCTTACTTACAACAGTGGTATGATTGGTGGCAGATTGTTTATAAAAATGGCCACAATTATTCCCTTCTATGAATCCATGTCCTGTGCAGCACCTCTCAGCAAGAGGCGGAATCTCTAATTCACTCTGTGAATCTGGGTTGGCCTCCCAACTTGCACTGGTCAACAGAATGTGTCAAAGTGACAAAGTTTACAGCCCAGTTCTCAAGAGACCCTGAACACCTCAGTTCTAAGAACCCTGTTGTCACCATGTGAATAAGCCCAGACTAGCCTGCCAGAGGAGGTGAGACTACACGGCAGAGCAGAGGTAACCTAGAGGCGGCCAGGTCAGATCAGCCAATGGTCCTGCCAAGATCAGCAGAGCTGGCCACTTGAAGCTCTGCAGATGCATGAGGGAGCCCAGCTGAGACTGGAAGAACCTCCTTGCTGAGCACAGCCAGAACCACTGAACTGCAGGATTGTTAGCTACATAGAGCCAGCTCTTAGTCCCTGTGGGGGATTGGTTCCAGGACCCACAGCAGATACCAACGTCTTTGGATGCTCAGCCCCTTAAATAGAATGGCACAGCATTTACACAGAACCCACACAATCCTCTCCCATACTTTTTAACTTGTTTCTAGCTGACTTATAATACCAGTCTAAATATTACATGTAAAGAGTTGTTTTAGTGTATTGTTTAGGAAATAATGACAAGGAAAAAGTCTGTATGCGTGCTGTCCAGATGCAACAATTCTAGTCCTAACTAGAACTTTTTTTCTGCATATTTTTTACCCACAGTTGATGGAATCAGCATACGGAATCCACAGACATGGAGGGCTGACTGCAGTTTCATTTTGTGTTACTAAATTTTGAAGTGTGTGTGTGTTTTTTGAACCAAGGGGTGCTTACCTAGTGTGCCACATTCCCAGCCTTTTTAAAAATTTTTTGAGACAGGGTGTCACTAAGTTGCTTAGGGCCTAAATTGCTGAGGCTGGCCTTGAACTCTCAATCCTCCTGCCTCAGCCTCTGGAGTCAAAGGGATTACAGGGGTGCACCACGATGTCTGGCTCGAAGTATTTTGTTTTGTTACATAGCATAAACTAATTGATAAAAACATTTTGGCAAGGGGATCAATGGCAGGATTTAAAAAATAATAATTGATGGTGATAATTAACAATCTTTTCTGTTTGATCACACAGACATTAAAGTTGGAAGAATATCAAATCAAACAGAAATGAATTGTTTATTATCTGATCACCTGGGAATGCATCAGCAGGAGTTGAGAACGACAATGCCATCGTTCAATCTGCCCAGGACTTCTGGGTCGAATCATGGACAGATGCGCCCCCTAGCGAAAGCCTCAGGTACCTCTGCGTCATCTCATGACGATGCGCCCCCCTAGCGGGGGATGCCGCAGGTGCCCACTTACCAGAATCTTGGTGGTGTAGGCGCTGTTGATGGCGATGGCGTTGACCAGCAGCTCCATGGTCTTGGCGTTGATGGAGCTGGGATCCGGGATCTCCTTGTAGTGGACGTCACCGACATAGGCCTGCACCACTGTCATGCGATTGGTGGTCAGAGTGCCTGTCTTGTCCGAGCAGATGGCTGTGGCATTGCCCATGGTCTCACAGGCGTCCAGGTGGCGCACTAGGTTGTTGTCCTTCATCATTTTCTGGGAGGAAGGACAGATAAAAGGGTGATGGTGAGGAGGGGGGGTGGGGGAGATGGGGTGCCTGGGGGGGGAGCCCTGGGTGATATGCAGTAACTGAGGCAGAGCCTCGGTTTCCCTTTAGCCTCTGCACATCAGAGGATCTTGGTTATAAAGGCCTCTTACACCTGGACTCGTTTTGACTGTTATGGCCCTTTTCTTTCTCTTTTATCATTTGAATCATTTAAAAGATCATTTAATTTTTTACCTCAAGATACAGAAGTAATCTACATTGTCTATGGAAAAAAATGGTGGAAAAAATATACCAAAAAAAAAAATGCTCATCATCTCTAGCAATCAGAGAAATGCAAATTAAAATTACACCAAGATACCATCTCACTCCAGAAGAGTGGCAGCCATTACGAAGACAAACAACACGTGCTGGCGAGGATGTGGGGAAAAAGGCACACTCATAACATTGCGGGTGGCACTGCAAATTGGTGCAGCCAATTTGGAAAGCAGTATGGAGATTCCTTGGAAATCTGGGAATGGAACCACCATTTGACCCAGCTATTCCTCTTCTTGGACTATACCCAAAGGACCTAAAAACAGCATACTACAGGGACACAGCCACATTCAATGTTTATAGCAGCACAATTCATAATAGCTAAACTGTGGAGCCAACCTAGATGTCCTTCAGTGGATGAATGGATAAAAAAAATGGGGCATTTATACACAATGGAATATTACTCAGCAATAAAAAATAATAAGATTTTTTTGCAGGGAAGTGGACGGCATTGGAGAAGATTATGCTAAGTGAAGTTAGCCAATCCCCCAAAAAACAAATGCTGAATGTCTTCTCTGATATAAGGGAGATGACTCAAAATGGGGTTGGGAGGGAGAGCATGGGAGGAAGATTACCTCTAGATAGGGAATAGGGGTGGGAGGGAAAGGGAGGGAGAAGGGGAATAGCTAGGATGGTGGAAGGAGAGGGTCATCATTATACAAAACACATGTATGAAGATGTGAATTTGGTGTCAACATACCTTATATACAACCAGAGACATGACAAATTGTGGTATAAAGGTGTATTAAGAATTGTAATGCAAAAAAATAAAAAATAAAAGAAATAAAAAAAATTAAGGTTGGGTCTCTCTTGATTACTTCAAATATTTTACTCTTAACTGAGCATAAATAATTATTCCTTATTTGGTTGTGGATTTTTCTCAAATGTATCATCCTCTACTGGTGCCTGTTTTTCAGTGTCATTTCAATTTTGCCAAAGGTAAGTAAGTTTAGCATACACGTGCTTATAGATATAGGAAATCATTTGGAGAAATATCAAAATATGAATGTCATTATCTCTCAGGGATAGAATTTTAGATTTTTATTGATTTCTTTTTATAAAATCCATAGATTCCATTTTTCTATAATGGGCACATAACTTGCACAATAAAAACTATGAATTCCTTTTAAATAAAAATACACAAGAAGGAAAATGAAAAGTGAGCCATCAACTGCCGCCTAGAACAGCTACATCTTTATACATCAACATCTGTTCTTTTTGAATTTATAACACAATGAAACCCGACTATACATATTATTATTTTTATAGAGCCTCCCCTTTTCTGGCTCAGTCCCTGCTTCTTCTAGGTTTTTAAACAAGTAATGAAATAAAGTAATTTTCAAAGAACCACCAATTCTCATGCAGGTACCCCTGACAAGTTGACCCTACCTGGTAAGGAAGGGAGAGCAAAGCCGCTAGAGGCTGAATCAGATGGAGTCCTAGTCTGTGCCTAGAGATTTTTTTCCCCCTCTTGATACCAGGGATTGAACCCAGGGTGCTTAACCACTAAGCCACGTCCCTGGACCTTTTTGTGTTTTATTTAGAGACAGGGTCTCAGTGAGTTGCTTAGGGCCTTGCTAAGTTGCTAAGGCTGACTTTGGAATTGCAATCCTCCTGCCTTGGCCTCCCAAGCCACTGGGATTACAGGCATGTGCCACCCTGCCCGGCTGGGCCTAGAGATTTCATTTGCTTTATTCTTGCTCCTCATTATAATTCTTTACAGCAAGGGTAAAATAAGAGTGCAACTTGAATAACTTAACCAGAGGTTTAAGTTAGATACTGATAGGATTATTGCTATGGAATTTTCCTGATTATAACCCGTGATAACAATGCCAATAAATATTACGCTGAATGGTTGACCAACATTTGGAATTTGCAATACACTTTACATTCTGCAAAGAACCTTCTGCATTTATTTTCTTGTCTGATGTTGTAAGAATCCCATGAACCCTGAGAAGATCTGTTTTGGCAACTGAAGAAATCTAGGCAAAGAGATTAGACCAGGATCACACTCCCAGTGAGGTTGAAGGCTGATGTTTTAAGCTCTACTTAACCGCACAGCCTAGATCATTCCATGGAGCCTCAACCCATCTGCTCTCTGAAGAGGGTGGTCTACTAGGCTTGAGAATCCCTAAGTTGGGACTGTCCAATAGGGTAGCTCCATGGGGCTACCATCGAGCACTTGAAATGTGGCCATGATGTCTCCCACAAGGGCAGAGGTGTGGTCGTGTTTATAAATAAGGCCAAAGGGTACATGCAAAAAGCACATTGCATTTTGAAGACACTATGAAAAAAGAACATGTAAAAGAAATCTCTCTATAATTTTTACATCAATCACATGTTGCATTGATAATGATTTGGATATATTGGGTTAAGTCAATTGCATTATTAAAGTTATCTTCACCTGTTCCTTTTTTACTTTTAACAAAATGGGGCTACCTGGACATTTAATGTGGCTCACATCTGTTTCTCCCAGGTAGCACCCATCCAAGTGGTCACTACTGGGCTCTTGACGGTGGCTCCCAGATCCAGGCTCAGAGAGGAATCGTCTGCTTCTCCTGGGCTGGGTGCTCTAAGTTTACCAAGTGACTGCATAAGTAACATGACCTAAGATGACCAAAGCTAACAGGTGCCAGATATACAAACTGCAGACAGCACAGGGGCCTAAGATTGTCTAGACACACGGTTCCTCCAAACCGGGTCTGTGCAGTTTTCAAGGAGATCCCCAGCTTGGTGGGGTGGCTGTGGAGCCCCTGCTCATGGCTATGTAAATATTGCCCTCTCTTGTTCCTGGGCTCCCGAGGAGCATCTTCATGAGACCTGTTTGGGTTTTGGTTTGTGGGATGGAGTTTCTCTGAAAACCCTAAAACAGAGAGACGATAAGGGCTGTATATATTTCACAGAGCTGCTACTTCCTGGCACCAGCCTGGAGATCTCTTTTCTGGATGAAATTACATCGGAGAGCCCAGCCCAAATTCCAACTTGGAAACAGATGCTCACTGTGCCCTCCAAAAGCCCTGCCAATTTCTTGGAGTGGGGGCCTTATTTATAAACACGACCACACCTCTGTCCTTGTGGGGGATGTCATGGCATCAGGACCCTGGGCGAAAAGAATCCAGAGCCCTGCCCTCCAGGGTGGGGAAACCCCGGGGGCAAAGGGAAGAAATGAGCAGGGCGTGAGAGCCTTGGAGTGACCCACAGAGGGTCAGACTTGTGGTGTTTGGGACCCACGGATGACCACTGCCTGGGCAGGTGGGAGTGGAACTCTGCCATCGATTGTGCTTAGGAAAGCCCCCCAGACCCAAGCTGCCCCAGTGAACATCCACTGCCCAAGAGTCCTTCATTTAACTGCTTTTAAAACCTTTCAGTCTATAACCAAGGTGAGGAGGCTTCTGTTAAATTAGGCATCATTTTGTTTTCATCTTACCTCTCTCAAACTTTTTAGATTGCGACCTCTGAGATTAGTTGTGTAAATACTATGGCTACGAGGGGCCTGTTACTGTGGCTGCCAGACCTCTGCCTATGTTCAGTGGGATGGGGATAGGTTTTGGCCTCAAAGCGATATCTGGATTTTATTTAATTTTTGCAGTACTAGGGATGGAACCCAGAGCCTCATGCAAGCACTCTGCTACTGAGCTACACCCCCAGTCCTAACTGTTTTAGGGGATTGAGCTGATTGTCAATACAAATCTGGAGAATTTACAGTAAGTGCAGAGTTTTGACTTCTCTTGAAAGATGTGTGAAGATCTGACCCCCTGGGCCTGCAATCTACAAGGCGACATTTGGCTGGGCTAAATAGTGGAGACCCCTTTAGCTAGGGTGGGGCTCTTGGGTCTGTCCCCAGCCTCCTCAGGTGTCTGAGTTTTGGGGACAACAGACACCCCCTCTGAGCCCCTGATGTGTCCATATGCTTCTGGGCTCATCTCCCAACCCCAGCGAGAACCCTCGGGCCCCTCCCCAGGCTCCCAGCTGGGGATGTCAGCTGACTGGTCGTGGACTCCCAGCTCACCTTCACGGAGTAGGCCAGCGAGATGGTGACGGCCAGAGGGAGTCCCTCGGGCACAGCGACCACCAGCACCGTCACACCAATGATGAAGAACTTGACAAAGTACTGCACATAGACGGGCGTGCACTCGGGCAGCCACGGCTTCTTGTTGACCACGAAGGTGTCCACGGTGAAGTAGAGCACCAGGATGATCACGGTGATGGCTGACATCACCAGGCCTGCAACACAGGGGGACACCTTCTTAGAAGGCTCCGGGCAGGGCCCAAGGGGCCCTGAGAAGTGAGGTATGGACTAAACACTTGGCTGAAAGGTCCCCAGGGTCTAAAAGAACTCAAAGCACCTCCCAGCTCTGCTCCTTCCTTACTCTGTGACCTAGAGTAAGTCCTTGGTCCTCTGTGAGCCTCAGTCTCTTCCTCTGTACCATGGGGATGCAGATTTCCTTCACATAAAGTGCCTAGCACAGTGCCCACCTGACTCTTAGCAGGTGCTTCAGAAATGTGTGCCAAGGACTGGGTGGGCACAAAAAGAACCATTTGCACAGAGTTTTCACAAAACAGGGAGGTGAATTTGGAATCACTTATTTCCTCATTTTTAAAAAAAATTTTAGTTGCTGATAGACCTTTATTTTATTTTATTTTATTTTTTTTTTAGCTGTTAATGAACCTTTATTTTATTCCTTTATTTATATGTGGTGCTGAGAATCGAACCCAGGCAAGTGTGCTACCGCTGAGCCCCAGCCCCAGCCCCTTTCTTCACTTGTTGATAAATACCTTTTGAGCATTTGTGACATGCCAGTCACATAGTAGTTCCTAGGCTAGGAACTAGAGGCACAGCAGTTACAGAGTTCCTACCCTTGGGGACCTGATGTTCTAGGGGGACAGGCATACCAGAAACAGATAACACAGCCACAAGATCATTGATGCTGCAAAGAAAAACCAAGCTGATGTGATAGAAGGTGACGTGGCAGGGGAAGTTGCTTTATCCAGGATAGCCAGGGAAGGCTTCCTGGAGGAGGTGACCTTGGGGCAGACACAGGAACAACAGGAAAAGGAAACTGAGGCTCAACAGGAGAAGGGTCTTGTTCACGGCCACAGGAGATCCTGTAGCAGTAGGGATGCCGTTGGCAACCTCCCGAGATCCCCTGGGGTCTCTCTCACCAGTTCAGTGTGCCCATCTCCCACCTGCGGCAGGTGCTGCAGAGACTGCTTACATCTGCAGCCTTTGCCAGAGGGAAGTGGCACTGGGGGCGATGGGAGTCCCCTTGTCAAGGTAGTGAACCAACCCCCATCTGGGTTCTAGTGAACCCACCCACCCACCAGTGGCTGATGTGGGGGGTCCCAAAGCCCAGGCCCTGCTGCAAGGTGGATGGGCCCTGCCATGTGGCTCATGGGCCTGCGGAATCAAGTGGAGACTAGGAATGTTCCAGAAATCTCAGTGGCACCTGGCTTCCTCCCCTTACTGCAGGCTCCACACGAGAAAAATCTCCGTAAATCCCTCACCACCCATCTCGGATCTGCTTGCAGGAAATTCAGCCCAAGAGGTAGGCTGTGAAAGGTCGGGGAGGGAGGGGAGGGAGGACTCTGAGGGCCACGGGGCTGTTGTCTTCTTAGTCTCCTCCCCTACCCAGGGCCACGTTCCCACGGAGTCTTGTGCCTGTGACAGCGATGGTGGGGACAGAGGAAATCCCTGGGCCCGTCATTCCCCACCCCCCACCTCCAGCTGTGGGGCCTCAGAGCCGGGCTCTATCCCTGTCTCACAGTCACAAGGGGCGGGAAGCCAAGCTCCCAGCAGCCCGGAGCTGTCACCAGGCCCCCGGGTTTAAATATAGACAGCCGGGCCTATAATTTTCCTCCCTCCCGCTGCTGTGGTGTCTATAATTAGAGCCAGGGAGACAGCCAGGTGGGGATGCCTTGGCACTGGCCGTATCCTTAGCCAGGAGGGGCAGCGAAGGCTGTGTTGGAGGGTTGGGACTCACCTTGCAGCTGGGCTCAGCTTCTCAGGCCAGGGGGGCTGTCACCAGCCACCACGTGCAGCCACTACCTCACTTGGGAAGCCCTGCTTGTTTGGTTGGAGCGCAGACCATGGGCTTCTCCCCTGGCTCCTGGCATGCCCTCGGCCTCTTTAATCTTTCCTCTGCACTGCAGCTGGTGTGGTCATTGTAAAGCCCCAGTCCGTCCCTGCCCAGCCCTACTCAAATCTCTTCCATGGCTCCCACTGTCCTCAGGATAAAAATCTGAGCTGCCTAGATCTCCAGGCCCTGCGGAATCTGATCCCTCTTTAGTCACTGCATGTGCCAAGGGCTAAGTACTCTGTATACATAATTCCCTTTAATCCTCAGAGCAACCTGTCAAGTGGGGATGACCTGTAACCCCATTTTACAGGTGAGAAGACAGAGGCTCAGAGCAAGCTGATGATACTTGGCCCAGTTCTCACAGCCATGTATGGACTGCAGTGTAGGCCATCTGCCCCGATCCAGGGTTTTACCCTCCTTGTTCTGCCTCACTAAGTGCTGAGTGTTTACTGCATACAGGACTCAGATTGATGGCTATGGCAGGAAAGCCTGGGCTTCCAGGACCGTCTCTTTCTTGTTTATTTTTTGGTACAGGGAATTGAACCTGGGAGTGTTAACCCCTGAGCCACATCCCGAGTCCTTTTTATTTAGTTTAAAGATCGGTTCTCACCAAGCTGCTTAGGGTCTTGCTAAGTTTGCTGAGGCTGGCTTTGAACTTATGATCCTCCTCTGCCTCAGCTTCCTGAGCCCTGGGATTTACAGGTGTGTGCCCCCCACCCCCCCCGCACCCGCCCGGCAGGACCCTCTCTTTCAAGGTGGGGTCTCACTGGTGGCTTCAGTCCCCTCAGCCCCCACCGCTGCACACTCACCCGCTTTGCCAATCTGCACTGCCAGTTTGGTGAGCTTGCCCTGCAGCACAGACTTCTCCTTCTTGTGCATGTTGGCCTTCTTCTTGTCGTCTGCGTCGCCGCCCTCGGCACTCTTGAGGGGCTGCATCTCCATGGCGGCTGCCCCGTCCTGCTGTTTGGCTGGAGGAGAGAGGCAGAGCACGCACATGTGCGCGCGCACACACACACAGACACACAGATGCGCACGCAGGTCAGCCTTTCAGGGTGGGGATGCTGGCACCCACCCTGCCTGCCCAGTGGAGGGGTTGGCTGCCCTGACTGGGCCCCCCCATGGTGGGCACAGAAGCCCAGGACGGGGGCCTGCCTCTTCCAGTTGGAGTCTCGGGCTGCCAGGGGTCTCACTGCTTCAGAGAGCAGGCTCTCCCCTGGGTTCCCAGCAGGAGTGGACTGGGGTCCCCTTGGGGCCTGAACCAACCCACAGACCCTACTCAAAATGGACCCTTGGTCTTTCCCATAGTCAGATAGGAAAGATAGTCTTGGGCCTTCCCAGCATGCCCCTGGGGCATGCTATTAAGATATCGAGGATCCAGCAGACAGGAGGGTCAAAAATGAAAAATATGAAAAACACTTAAAAAAGGTAAAAGAGGGTGAACCTCTGTGCACAGGTACCCAGTCCCCAGTCAGTATGGCCTCTTCAGCATGGGACTGAACGGAGGACCTGTGGCCCATTTTTGACAGAGATTGGGCCAGCTCTTAACCTACCCCATCCTTCGACCTGTAAAGAGCTCAAAGAACCAGTTTTGAGTCTGCAGCTGAATGGGCCGGGAGCTCAAAGGCTGGGGAGACGCTGGCCCAGGAGTGTCCTCTCTTCTCCCCAGGGACACCTCTTTATTTGGCCTGGCACCCATGAGTACCACAGCTACATCCCCAGGGACACCAGGCCTCGTAACTAGCCTCCGCCTCTGGTGCAATCTGGTATGGGTGGGGAGGGGCCGCGCCGACCACAGAGGCCGGGTCAGAGGTTTACCTTTGCTCTGGCTGGAGTCCACATTGCCATCTTGCATTTTACCTACACGACAAAGAATTTTAACAGACAACAGAGAACAGACGGCACAGGTCGGTCATCACAAAGACGTAACAGGCCATGGACATTCATGTCACAGATGGAGGAAGGACTGAGCTGTTCAGGTGCTGCGTAGGCCCGCAGAACCTGGGCAAGCTGGCTGCCAGGCCGGCCACAGGGGGCTGTCAGCCTGAGTGACTGTGGATTCTCTAAGGGACTCAGGAGAGAGGGTTTCTGTTGCAATCACCTTGGCCCTGAGTGTTTTATAGATTCAAGGACCATATTTGAGAGTCAAGGGGACAGAGTCTGCTGGCAGGAGGCGGGAGAACTCCAGACCCCCCCAACCCAGTGAGGCTTTTATAACTTTTTGACAGCTGTATTTTGTGGGCTGGGAGGGGGCAAAGGGGAATGTTCAGCTACAACCTTTTTGTTTCCTTGTAAAAGAAAACATGTAAACACAATGGAGAAAGAGAGAGACAGAAAAAGAGGGAGGGAGGGAGAGAGGGAGGGGGGAGAGAGGGAGGGAGGGGGGAGAGAGGGAGGGGGGCGAGAGGGAGGGAGGGACAGAGGGAGAAAGAGAGAAGGGTGGGGGGTTGATTCTAAAATAAGCAGAGTCTGGATGATGTACGTAGTTCTGTGTCTCTTTGTATCTGGCTCCAGGGGACAATTCTACTTTTTCCTCATCTTTCTGAAGGGCTAAGAAGCTATTGCATGGATGTTTCTGACAGTGACCAGGGCAAAGAGTGAGCAAGACGTCCCCAGGAGTGGTCTTTGAGGGGCCCTGAGCATGTCGGGGGGCTTCATGAAGCATCCTCATTCCCGAGGGGAAAGCTACAACCCCTGGTTAAGGGGACTTTATTCTGCAGCTCCGGCCATGGTAGGCAGGATAAGTAGAGTCAGTGGGTTCCCCTGGATGGCTCCTTCTATGCCAGGGCCTGCTGCTTAGCGCAGGGGAAAGGGTGACTATGGGGCTCCCCGCCCACTAAACAGGGCAGGTGGGTGGCACTGGTGGCTGCTGTCTCTCACCTGGAACACCTGCCTCTCTCCTGTACCCTCTGGTCCCCTGGCCTGTGCCGCTCATCTGGATTTATTCCTCTGGTCCTTGCCACTAAGGGAGGGGTCTGAGGGGGCCGGCCACCCTTGGACATCTGCTGCCACGCCCACCAGGTATCAGGCTCGGGTGGCCTCCACGATTTCATGTGATCCTGTCCATGGCCTCCCCTATGAAGGGTACTCTTGAAACAAACCCATTTACAGATGAGAAACTGAGGCTCAGAGGGGGAGATGGCCCACTGACGTCTCTGCAGGACAGTGGACAGCTGGCCCCAAAGTGTGTGTGTGTCTCCACTCTGCTGTCTCATTTCCTGAAGCCCCTCTGAGCCCAGGGAAGGGCATGTCCCATGGTGCTGCTGGGATAGAGTTCCTGAGGGTCCCTGTTTTGGCACCAACTAGCCGTGTGACTTCACATCTCTCAGCCTCGGCTTCCACCTTTATCCCAATAGTCACCTCCCATAGTGTTCAAAAGTCACCTTCAGCTGGGCACAGCGGCATATGCCTGTAATCCCAGGGACTCAGGAGGCCGAGGCAAGTTCGAGGTTAGCCTAGGCAACTAAGAGTGACCCTAAGCAACTTAGTGAAACTCTACCTCAAAATAAAAAATAAAAAGGGTGGGGGATGTGGCTCAGTGGTAAAGTGCCTCTGGGTTCAATCCCCAGTACTTAAAAAAAAAAATTCACCCTCTCAATAACCACTTGCATGGTTCAGCCTTCTGCCATTTAAAAGGGCTTTTGCAAGGGTCACCTCTTGTCATTCCCTGCAAGGTGGGGTGGGAGGGACTGTCAACACTCTCATGTTACAGATGAGGAAACCGAGGCCAAAGGATGTTCAGAGGCAGCCTGCATTTACGGGCAACCTCAGCATCACCTTGAAACCACATGATTAGCTTGTTACCATTTCTGAACCCAATTTTTAGGTGACACACAGGAGGGAACTGGCTTCCCTGGTCCCTGCTCGGCACGTTCTGTTCCAGTGTCCATGCTGGGCTGTTCTCACCAGCCCTCATAGCAAGGCTGGGGTTTAAAGAGAAAGGCCCCCATTGCTCTATTGTTAAAGTCTTCCTACTGGATTTATAAAACAACAACCAGAGAGAAAACTTTTCAGAGCAAACAGGAATGAACAACAATTATTTTTATTTCTTAAAATAATTTTACTAACTAGGCTAAGGGGCACCAGAGGACTCAGCTTCAATAGTCTCTTTTAGAAGGCTCGAAGGGGCCTTTATTTGAATTGCATATTATCAGATGCGCTAGCCGGTGTGCGTGCCCATTAGACCCAGCTAGCAATTTCCTCTTTTATTGCCACAGTGATCACGTGGCTAGAAAAATAATTGCCAATGCATATGTTGGAGGGAGGGAGTACATGGTAGGAGTGCTTTGGTGCAGATGGCCTGGTTTCTCAGAAGCAAGGGACTTATTTGGGACTCTTCTTGCCTGCCTGGTTCTGCCTTGTGATGGGACAGCCAGCTCTGGTCCAATGAGGGACCAGGAGGGTGGGCTGTATTTCAGGGGAGCTGGGATGTGGCAGGATCTGAGAGCGGGGCTGGGAGGGGTCTCGGAGGCCCTTCTCTTCCAGATGTGGCTGTTTCTGAGTCCATTCTCTTTGAACTTCAGGAGGGATAGAGGTGAGAGGAGCACAGATTTGGAGGAGACAGACCACCAGCTAGGAGATCTGGAAAATGTCACTGTGCCACCCTCTCCTCCTCTGTGAAATGGGTCCATATCAACTAAGGTGATGCTCATGGGAAGGACCTGCAAAGTGCTACATAAATGTTAGGAGTTAATGGTAATACGTTATGACTCCTGCTTATAATAATCTAAGTGGTGTATTGAATAGCCATATGTGAACAAGCATAAAAAAAAATAATAAAGCAATTAAGGAAATCACACCTCCAGGATGCATGGAACACATCTATCTTTGAGTTGTGGAGCTTGGGGGAGTAGAGTTGGGGGATGCTGGAACCCCAGTTTTTTTTCCTACAACATCTAAGTCATCAAGATTTGGCTCAGAGGAAGGGGATAAAATTACAGTTAATTCTCTCACTTATCAAGCCTCATAAACTTTCATGGTGCTCTTTCCTAGAGCATGAAAGATTTGTTAAAATTCAGATTTTCATTGTGTTGATCTGGGGTGGGGCCTGAGATTCTGCATTTCTAACAAGCTTGAAAGCGATGACCAGACTTTGGGTCCTCCTGGCATAGGGCAGTTTCCCAAAGGGTATTTATGGGGCATACCAGTCCCACAAGATTCAGCCAGGAAGGGTCCTGCTGTCAAGTCAGCCTGGGCACCCTTTATGAGTCTACAGCTCTCCGCTACCATCAGCAAGTTCAAGGTTCGAGCAGTTCTGCAAGTGAGGAAGCAATCAATTCAGACCAGGGGTTCTCAAACATCTTTGACCACAGGATCCTTCTCTTAGGGGAAAGACCTCTTCTTGTAAGTTTCACTCCATCAAGAGATCCTGGTTCAGGAGGAGCACATACTTTGGAGCCAGCCCCGTCTGGGTTCTGGGTTGAGATCCTAGTTCTGCTACTTTCTTGCCCTGTGTTCTTGGGTGCGTGTCTTGGGTCTCCTCGAACCTCAGTCTCCTCATATTTAAATTAGAGATAATAAAACCTGTGTCATGGGGATTAAATAAGATGGAAATCCTGCAACAGCATCTGCATATAACAGATGATTAAGAAATGAAAGTTCCTTATTTCTCCTATGATTTTTTTCCCTCTGGATGCTGGGGGGTTGGGGGCTGCAAATTGAAAGTGAACTTTACAACCCCCTCCTTTTTTTTTTTCCTGGAGCTGGTTGGCATAGATGGGGTCTGCTGCTCATTACCTGGGGGAAGTGGGTACCAACACCTGGTGCCTTCTTGCCCCGGCTGTGGGTTTGCCCATCTCTGTTCTGTCACCTCTCAGCCAGCCCTCCCTGACGCGTGACACCTCCCACATCCCAAGCTGTTCTCCTTTCTCCTCCTGGGCCTGAAATAGACCTGCACCCAGATTAGCATACTGCTTGTGGAAGCGCCTTGTCTAGCCCCTGACATCTTCTAGGAGCTTCCGTAGCTGGTCACTTTGCAGACAGGTAGCTTGACAGAGGTCTGGGGCAGAGGCTGGGGGCGGTGACAAGTCTCCATGCTTTGCAGGAGCAGTGAGGAGTGAATGAAACAGAGGATGAGAGACCTGTGGCCCAGGGCCTGGTGTGAAGGGACACCAGAGAAAAAAGACATTTCTGTTCCTTCCTTGGTTTCTCTGGAGTCATGTTTTCATGGCTTTGCCATAGTGGCTCTCAGCAATCCCGGAACAGCCTGGTTGATTATCATGTTACCTAACTTTGGGGCAGGGGCAGTATCTGAGTCAACAGAAGCCTCATCTGTCCTGAAGAGAACTAAATCTTCTGGAGGCTTGGAGGCAAGTGCACGGAATTCCTCCCAGGCCGTGCGTAAGGAGGGACAGATGCAGACCCCAGCTACATGGGGTAACCCCGCCCTCACCCACCACCCCAGGGGGCAGTAAGAATGCAGAGTCCCACAAATGCCCCAGCACAGGCAAAAGCAAGAAACACCAGTCCACATCGGAGGGACAGAACTAGGCCCGAGCCCAAGCAAACCCCCTGCCCGTTAGCTCCGTGAAAGAGAAGAGGAAGAAAACTCCACCAGGCTCAGCCATGCTCTGGGGTGGGGCCGAGGAGCTGAACCCTGGCTGGGATCCCCCTGCCTCCAGGGAATTTTAGTGGAGGCTGGGACTCTTCACTGGGGACCCAGATGCCGGCTTCAGCTCAGGTCCAGGCCCCAGGCCATCTTCCCAAAGCCAGGGCAGAAATGCACTTAGTCGGAGGGCCACACCAGGTGGGACACTGCTTCTTGGGGGCCAAATCTGAAGCCAAAGTCATGTCCCACACTTTGGGTTCCCCTGGGGGGGTTCAGGGCCCAACAGGAGCCAGCACCTTTGGGTAGCTACAAGCAGGTGTGGAGTTGGTTTCCGGCTGTGGCTCTGCTCTTAAGCGCCTGCCCCATGTGAGAGGGTGACTGTCCCAGTGCGAGATCCCATGCACATCCGAGATCTGTGCAGTCCAGAACAGGGAGAGAAAGCCCAGAGTTGGGAGTGGAAGAGAGAGAGGCCCGTCCAACCCAGACCGAGACTGACCATTGCCATCGGAGACGTACCATTGACTAGGCTGGCCCTCACACTATCTGCAGCGTTTGAAGCTGCCACACCGTCTGCCGCTGCAGAGGGAGGGTGGGAGGGATGGAAAATGCAGTGTGTCACAATGGAGAAAAGCAACAACGATAAAGACATGAACCCACTGGCGGGAAAACCATGTGACTCTACAGCAACAACAACAAGTCTCCATTAGAAATCAAGAAACTCAAATTTGGGGGTGGAGGTGAAATGTTCCCAGGGAGATGCCACAGGGGTGGGGTTGGTGGGGACTCAGACAATGGAGGGTCTTGAAATAAAACATGGAGGATGAGCAGGGTGATCAGGAGGATGGCATTCTTCCGTGGTGAGGTCTCTACAATGTTGGCCCAATGGGTCGGGTGGGCCCCATGTTGGATGGAGGGGTCTGGCTGCCCATTAGGACCAGGGGGCCCGATGACCAGGAGTCAGCTCAAGCTGTTCAGTGAGGGGCACAGCGTGTGCACCAGCCATGCAGAAGGGCTATCTGCTATGATGGCCATCACTGTGTCCTGGTGGACCAGCAGTCAGTGGTGGTGACAGCTGTTAGGATCCTGCCTTCTCTCAGGGCACTTGCCATCACTAGCTCTTCCTTCCCTAACCTGCATACTAAAGATCGCCCTGATGACCCCCTGGTGAGATAGCCTTCTGTTTAAAAGGTAGCATCAAGCATGTCTCAGTTTGTACACAAGCAAAGGCGCTAGTGAAGTTTTCTTAATTTAGCAATTAAGAATGATTTGAGATGGACAAAATTCACGTCCGTTGCTCTTTCTTGGGGGACTGGGGTTCTGTGGGGAGGAGGAGAATGAGACCCTGTACGGTGAGAGATGCTGGTGGGTGAGGCAGACACGTTGTGTGGTGGGGGATGGGAAGCCAGGTGGACTCTGGGGTGTGAGTGGGGGTGTCGGGGTCTTGTGTACTGTGAGGTGTCATATGCTGGTGTGCAGGGCTGAGGGGACTGGGCAGAGCGGGGTGGTACCATAAGGTACACTGAAGTCCCGTAAGGCAAGAGGTGGAGTGAGGTGCTGGTGTGTCCTGCTGGGCTGGCATCCCATGAGGGCACAGAGGGGCATCTGTAATAGGGCCACCTCCCACTGGGTGCTGGTGGTCTAATGTCAGGCCCTGGTGACCAAAGGCTGCAGCTATTTCTAAAAGCCCCTTCTACTCTAAAGGGTGTCTTACTGTACCTGGTAGCTGAAGGCCATCCCCCTTCTTCACACCTGTGTGATGATTTTTGAGACATGTTAATGATGGAGAAGCACACACAGCCTCATCTCACACAGACGCACACACACCCAGGTCATTCTGAAATGGGAAATTGCAACTGGAGGGCTCTAAGCTGTCTCCAGTTGAGACAATGGGATGGGGGGATGGGATGGGAGCGGCTGAGCTACTCATGATGGCCTGAGATGCTGGCCCACCTCCTAGGTTTCTTGTGCCACGTCCCCTCTGCATCCCACCTCTTCTCCCTCCATGAAGCTGGATCTTTCAATATTTTGTCTCACTGGTGCATGCTCAGAGAGGGACCTTGACTACACTCCAGGGCCACTGAGATCTGCCTTCCATAGTGGCTTTGCATAAACACAGGTCTGGCTTGTGGGAGCTTCTGGGTGTCCTTGTCCCTGAGTTGAGCCCAGTGAGGCCAAGGAGGTTCATACAGGCCACAGCATCCTGCCCAACTCCCTACACCCTGTGCCTGGCCTGACCACCCTGGCCACAGATTCTCCCTTGGTATATGGACACTGTCTTGATGCCCCCTGGATGTTCCTGCCAAGATTCTCTCCTCCATTTCAACCTTGGCACCCTTTTGCTCTCTCCAGCCTCTTGATTTCCCAGACCACAGCTCAGATCCAGTGTTCCTGCTCGTGAGGGTGGGTGCAGAGTCACAATCTCATCATCTGAGGGGACCCACTGAAAATGAGTTTTGCCCTCAGGAACAGGTAGACTTCAATCCTGACCCAGGCTCTATGCCTGGGTGGCCCCTGAGAGCTGGAGATAGCAGAGTTGTCCCTGAAACCCAGGCAGGGACCATCTGCCGTCTTATCTCTCTTCTTCCCAGGCTCCAGAAGTTCTGGGTGTTGGGGATCTTCCCCTGGAGCTTAGGGAAGAAGATAAAAGACTGAGGATGTGAAAGGGGGCTGACTCGGAGACTGAGTATGGGTGTCAGGTAAGCAGCGGGGTGTGCTGGGGCCCGAAGCCCAGATCTCTGGATTTGGGCCTGGCCCGACGGGACTGGAGTTTTTCACAAGAGCATCCCTTATCTGTCCTGAGAAGCATTTCCTCACAGGCCACACCCACTGCACTGCTGGATTTTTTATTTTCAAGGGGGAGGAAGGATCAGAACTGGGACAAGGTGGCAGCTTGAGGGGGAATCAGAGAGGTGGCCTAGAGCAGTATATTTACAGCCATGCTATTGGCCTTCTTCCCCAGAATATCTACTGCCCACGTATGGGACAAGTCTATGTTGGGTAGCTTTTCAGCTCTGCCTAGTGGAGTTGACAATGGTGGCAGGAATAAACGTCAGTGGGAATTTCTGCTCAATATCAAGGTGATGAGACCTATTCATGCTGGCTGTTTCTGCTGCTTGAAACAGAAGACTCAACCTCATGCTCGGCATCCTTGGACTGGCCCCAAGGGGAAGGAGGGGCCTCTGTGACATGACTGGACAAAACAGAGACTGGGACAAGACCCTAGAGATGAAACGGACAGAGCCCACCTGGCCCCAGCAGGGCCTTGAGGATGGAGGTGGCTGTTGGTACAGGGCGTGGACACAGAAGGCACTCGGTAACTATTTTGCTGACTAACAAACAAAAACAACAAAAAAATGTGGCCTTAAAAGCTCCTCTCCTGGTCTGCAAGGGGGTCGTGCTTACCTTTTTTGTCTTTCTTCTCTTCCTCTTCACCACCAGCCCCCAGCAGGGTAAAGATGATGCCAGTCTGAGAGTTCACACCTACAGCAGTCACCACCATTCGTCCTGAGCCCTCCATCACATGGGTACCTAGAGAAAAGAGCAAAAGCCAAGTTATCATTACATCCTCCAAACTTCCTCCCCAGAGGAGTAGAAGGAATGGTCAGCTCCCAGCTCTTTTGCTACAAAAATTGTAGGGTACCACCTATGGTTAAGGGTCACACTGTATGTGTGTGTGATGGGTTTCTTAAGATGTTTTCACCTCAGGACAGAGCCAGGATGGGCCTGGGGCTGAAGACTGCTGTCCTTCAGTTCTCAGGCCCTCCCAATCATCTCCAGGCTCACCACCTATTACCCTGTTCTGGAAGGTCATTTTCTTCCTCTGTCTCCCTCTCCCTCTTCCTTTTCCACCCTAACAGCCCAAGCTGAGGGATACTCTCTCTTTTCCTTATTGATAGTATGTGGAGCCAAACCACATCCTAGTAAAGAGGAGCTAACTGAGGACTGAACACTGCTCAAAATGGGATCCATCTTCCCTCCTTATTTGTGGTTCAGAGGTTTGTGAGTTTGGATGAGAAAAGTATAATGCCTTTGTCTTCACAAACCTCTGACTGCCATTTACCATTTCTTCCCACCATGAATATAGGAATGCTATTGGTGCACCATCACATGCATTACAAAATTCTCAGATTTTTTTGGTATCATTTTTACAGCTTTGCAGATTTTGTGGCTAGTTTTCTCTATTTTTCAACTATTGTGGTTATTAAGCATCCTGATGGATCTTGTTGTTCAGTGTATTAATCAGGAAGCGCATATATTTTTATACCACTTATTTTTATACTTCTTTATTTTAACATAATTGGTTTTCCTTGTAATCTAGTATTTTTTTTTCTTTTATTTTCTCTTTTTGGTACCAGGGATTGAACTCAGGGGCACTCAGCCACTGAGCCACATCCCCATCCCTATTTTGTATTTTATTTAGAGACAGAGTCTTACTGAGTTGCTTAGCATCTTGCTTTTGCTGAGGCTGTCTTTGAACTTGTGATCCTCCTGTCTCAGCCTCCAGAGCCACTGGGATTACAGGCATGTTCCACCTCATCCTGCAAAGCTTTATTCTAAGAAGAGGTGGCACTTAACAATGCCACAATTCCCCAGGGGTTCATGCTGCAAGAAAGATTAAGGACCCCCTTCCCAGAGTTTCAGATTTCTCAAACTAGAATTCTTTCAATGATCTGGAGGGGCAGTTGTAAGGGATGAAGTGGCTATTTTTTTACTGATGCATTATGATTACATATAATAGTGGGATTCATTTTGAATTCTTTATAGATGTACATAACATAATTTGATAAATCAATTTCATTCCCCATCATGACCTTCCCTCCTCCCTTCCCACCTCTGACTCCCCCTCTCTCCTTTATTGGTCTCTCTCCTATTTTTTTTCCCCCTAATGCTGGGGATAGAACTCAGTGCCTTGCACATGCCAGGCAAATGCTCTACCACTGAGCTACATCCCCAGTCCCCTCTCCTCTATTTTCATAAGGTCCCTTTTTATACTTTGTTCTCTCTAGCTTCTACATATGAGAAAACATGTGACCCTTGACATACTGAGTCTGACTTATTTTGCTTAACATATAATCTCCAGTTCCATATTTTTTCTATAAATGACATATTCATTCTTTTTATGGCTGAATAAAATTCATGGTGTGTATATATTTCTTTACCTGTTCATCTGCTGGTGGAACCTGGGATGGTTACATAACTTGGCTATTGTGAATTGTGATGCCATAAACATGGGTTTGCATGTATTGTTATAGCAAACTGATGCTCCGTATACACAATGGGAGTTCTATTCAGCCTTCAAGAGGAAGGAAATTCTGATACACTTTGAGGACATTGTGCTACATGAAATCAACCAGTCACAAACGGACTATAAATACCATGTGGTCCCACTCATGTAAGGTCCCTGAGAGTAGTCAAATTCATAGAGACAGAAAGTAGGATGGGGGTTACCAGGGGTTGGGGAAGAGGAACAGGGAGTTTTAGTTTGGGAAGATGAAAAGTTCCGGAGAGAGACAGTGGTGGTGGCTGCACGAGTGTGAATGTGTTTAATGTCACTGAGTTGGATGGCTGGGCCCAGCCCGGGAAGCTGACAGAATCTACATAAGTGAATTTTTGCTCTCCAGACACCCATTTTCCCCCCTGACTTTAATTTTATCATTCTGGGTAGAAAACTTTCTACAGTGCATCTTGCCCTTCCTTTTTAAATGCAGAAGTAAGAACTCTGTTCCTGCCTGGTGCCTTGTCTCAGGCCATCCTTATGCTGTGCACACAGTAAGTACCATACGGGGATTTCCAGATGTTGCCCAGGGGAGGCCTTGAGACCTCTATACTGAGGCCCCAACCTCCAGGACTTGCTTCTGGAACTCAATTCTGCGTTTTAAACACTGGGTGCCCCTTCTCCATGTTTTCTGGGTGCAACCTGTCTCTAACACCCTTTCTGTTGATTTCTAATTTGCTTGGGATTTGAAACCCAGGTCAGCAAATTCATTAGAATCTACCTAAAACAGGAGTCTATGTGTTCTGAGCCAGGACCTAAAGCATTTTCCTTATGCGAGAAATCCACTCCCTCTTTTCAAGGGGTTCACCTGCCTCATTCCTTTCCTGCCAGGATTTGTGTAATATCTTGTGTGTGTGTGTGCATCTGTGCACTTGCATGCCTGTGCATGTGTGAATGTGTGCTACACTAGCACCTTGGCACGAAGATCTTAGGGTCTTAAAGTGCTCTGCTGAGAGGCAGACAGACACCATCCAGTGTGCTCCCTGAAGGCAGGAGAACATCTTCCTGTCCTGACACAGATGTGGGAGTCACATCATGAAGGTGTACACATTGGGCAGGAGGCCCAGTGAGCTGTCAAGAACTCAGATTCTCAGGTGGGAGAATTCCCAGGACAGGAATCTCATGCAGAGAATGCGGGGGGAGGGGGGTAACCCCGAATGAGTCCAGATGCTGACTCTGGGCCGAGCAGGCTGGCCTGCTGACTTCCCATCTCAGGTCGATGCAGGAGCCACCCAGTCCTCACGAGGCCCCATGTCAGGACCTTGGTCATTGAAACAACGTCTGACAAAACACTTTCTGTGACGGCTTGTGTAGGGCTGTTGCCTACCACCACTCGACCAACAAGGAAACTGACATCATGTAGGGGAGAGGGGGTCACTGGAAACTTCAAAAGAGGGAAAGAGTCACACGCAGTTGCACTTACAGAGTGGAGACGGCAGTGACAGCAATCCAGCTAGACAACACCTACTGCGTGGCAGGCACAGTGCTACCCAAGGTGAGCAATTATATCACGTGATGCTCACGCTGGCCCTCAATTGATGCAGGAGGAAACTGCGGTTGTTGGGGGGGAGGTGGCTTGTCCAGGGTCCCTGGCAAGGGGCAGAGCCAGGATCTGAAGTCTCTGCCTGTTGTCTTGGTCACACGGAACTCTACCCAGGAGACAAGGCCTCAGTAGCTGGGTTTCCAACATGTGAGTAAAGAAAGTTGGCTGAGAAATGAAGGTGCCGGTCCTCTGGCTTGGGTGGTGACAGGGAGGCTGCCCTTCACCTCCCAGCACAGATGATGGAAAAAGATGCAGGGGGCCAGTTTCCACCATGATAATCAGACCTCAAATCACCTTCTAATCTAATCGCTCCCATTGCAGCAGAGAACTGGTCGCTCTGCGTCCGTAAATGGAGGCAGGAGGGGGGAGGAGGAAGCCAGAGGCCGGCTTGGGGTGAAGTCGAGCACAGCGGGGTCCTCTGGGGCCTGGCACTAGATGGGAGCAGGGGGGCTGAAGGTATCCACCTTCCCCTCTGGTCCTCTCTCCTCTGTGTTCCAGCAGTCCCCCAGATGCCACTCTGACCAGTGTCCCCCAACTCAGGTACCCTGCTGAGGGTTTGGGTGGCTCCCTGAGATCCAAAGCACTCCGTCAGCACCCTGGGATCAGGCCCCAAGCCTTCTCTGGCCCTTTACCACCAACTCCTGCTGTGTGGCTTTCTTCCTAGGAGAATACACAGCTCCCTGGCCTTTGTGTCCAGCCCCCTGCCTCTGCTCACACAAGGATGCCATTCCCTCACCTCTTGGCCCCCATCTCCTCCTCAAGGCTCAGGATGAATGTCCCTTCCCTAGGGGGCCCTCCCTGACTCCCATGAGAGGATTTCCTCTCCTTCTTCTGAACCAGCTCTGTGGCCTTCCTTGGGGTACCCCCGGCCTGGCTCCCCAGGGAGCCCCGGGCAGGTAGGGCCTGTGCACATCTCCCCCAGGGGCCTCCTCAGCAGAGCCTGGGGTGCAGCTGCCACTGTAGCCCCTTCCTTGGGGACCTCCTTTTTTGGTATCTCCCATGGTGGGCAGCACTACAATGGAGAATATACGCCCTCCTCCCAATCCACTGTGTGGTCTTACAAAGGCCACCTTAGTCCTGCTTTGCCCCCTGCTTCCCACAGCTCCCTGGGTGGTACCCTTGTCCTCCTGCCAGAGGAGGAATGGCATAAACCAGCCTGTGCTCCCCAGGCTCTTCCTGATCAGCTCTGGAAGTCCCTTGCAGGGGGCGATGCTTGACACCAAGGCTCTAATGTTGGGACAAGAGGCCTGGAGCTTAAGGTCAGCTGACTCCATCTCTCAGAGGAAGAACAGCAGGGTCTCTGCAGAAGGGCAGAGGTGAGAGCCCTTTGGATATGGTGCCCTTGCAGCAGGACCTCACTGTGCGTGCGTGGTCCCTTGGACACTGCTCTGCAGCCCCTACCTCTCCTCACTACCCAGGGAGCCCCTCGGAGCACACAGCACGGGGTGGGGGGGCGTGGACAGAAGGCCCTGGGCTGGAGAGCTAGTCTGGTGTCTGATTCTGATTTGCTGAGGGGCCTACGCCAGCCCCTCGCCTCTCTGGGCCTCCGTTTTGTCCTCTGTGAAATGGGAGGGTTCTGGTCGAGGTCACTACCTCTCAGCCACGGTGAAAGGGCATTCTGGGAAATTCCAGGCAAAGGTAGGAGGGGCCCGTGTGACAGCAGTGGGACATGTGGCAGACACTCAGGGCTCACGAAGGCAGGGTGACAAC